ATCGAGGAACAGTCCTTAAAGTCAAATGAACACCTTGTCATTTATCTAGCCATTGAACATCCCTCAGCATGCAGTAAGTCTACAAGACGGTGCAACGGCTCGTTTCGCCGTGGAAGAGTGTGCACATAGATTATTTTAGAACATTCCTGAACCAAGTGGTTTCGGGAGTAGCTATTGAGTACAGAAAATAAATTGCGGCGATTCCTGTCGGCAGCTTCACCGACTACGAAATATTACGTTGCGTTGTTCTTTCTTCTCTTTTGTAATGCGTGAATGGGGTAGGTTCAACCAAGGTTCCGGCCTTTGCTAGTGCAAAACTGAAGGAGGATTGTGGGAAAAAAGACCTGGCTGGGCATCTGATCCTTACGCAGCTTCAACTGATCCCACAAATGCGCGCTTCAGTCAATAAAACACGAGTTAGTCAAACAGAGTCAAAAAAGCGCTCGCGTGCTTTTCTTCAGCAACCATGCGCAACACCAAACGACTCAACCCTGCCCGTCGCCGCCTGCTTAATTAATGTTCAATCGGCAGTTACGCACAAAACTTCATCTTCTTACTTCCTCAGCCAAGGATAATGTTATCGAAAAGCCGAATCAGATGAAGGCGCGATATGACGACGCCGCATTCTTGCGCCTGACACAACTGTTTATGTAAGGACATTTTACCGGTAGACAGGGACTTCCACGAGGGCCTTTTTTGGATCATTTGCCATCGTCAACTGGAGATATCCTACTCCAGTGTAGCAGCTGAAATTTCCGCCACATTCGAGGTTCGAACTCGCGTCTCTCCGGTTAGAGGCGAACGCCCTAACCATTGAGCTATCGGGCTCGTCGTCTTGCCGGTTGTTGATCAGGACTTTACATTAGTAGATAGGCGTACACCGATCAGTTACAGAACACACCCACCCTGGTTTTTGATGTCCTTGTGTGTCCGAGAACCCCCGAACGTTGCTACAGGACCGGGTGTAATAAAGAGTGTACAGTCTGGACAATACAATAGAAGGGAAATATAAATAACGATTAAAGTTTATTAAGGTAGAAAAACAGGAATAATTATTTAAATGGTCTTATTTTTGTCAAAAAAGCGCGCCATAATTAAAATCTGCAATTATGGAAATATTGGGAAACAGCTAAATTAAAAAAATTATCTTAAACTAAAATCAGCTAATTAAGAAAACTAAACTGAAAACTGAACTTAAATATCAATAACTTAGACAAACCAAATAAACTAAAGTAAAGTTTTGCGCATGTAAACTGAAAGTGTGCGCGGCGTCTCACGCCGCAAACTATACTACTCTAACTCCAGATCAGTAAGTTGGACCCCGGGTAATTTGAAATAGGTGACCTCGGAACCGCCAAATGTTTTTTGGAATATCAAGAAACCCAATAAACTATAAAGTATAAGTAAGTAAAAAAGTCCAAATTTGTCGATCCCAATAAACTATGAGTAAGTAAAAAAATGTAAGTAAATTTTTGTGTTTATCTATGGCGCGCTATTTTATTGCGGAAGCATTGCATTATTTAAACAATTTCAGGGACCTAAAGTAGGATTCCACCTTTTAAGCTGGTAGTAGTTAGAGCGTTTGTTGGCTATTCACAGGTATACGTACATTTCCCGCGCTCTACGGTTGCTTTGCGCTTAATTCTGCGGGCTACGTATTCCTGTCTCCCAACTTAACCCGTTGCTCTACAGATAATCCTTCTAGCCCTAACCCTAACCCCTCCGGGAGTTCGGCTCTAGACCGGCTGTAGCTCAAAGGCGAGAATTATAATAAATCCCTAGTCATTTTTTAACTCTCCCTTATTTGCTTTGCCGTTTCTTTGTCCTTGCTGATACTGTTTGCCGTACGCAGAGCATGCTGAACCCTAGAAATCACGCGACATACGCGCGACACGCGCGCATTCAAGGTCACGACCGAATGGTCGGCACTCGTAAGCGCTGATTGGTCGCCCTCCAGCCTATGACGTTTCCGCATATAGTGTGGCCATCGACGCCTCGTCAGAATTACTACTTCTTGTTCCGGCTTCTGTGCTGAGTACATTTTTTGCTTGCACCCCGTCTTCTGTTCCGTAAACATCTAAAAATAAGCTCCAAATCGCGGTAAAAATGTTAGATCAGGCCCATGGCTT